TTCAGATAGCAGCCAGCTGAGTGTAACAAATAAAGTGAGAAATTGATTTTTTTTTCTTTTTTTTTTTTTCTAAACATTTTTTTTAATATGATTCAGTATTCTGAGGTTATTGTGAATAGTGAGGTACTAAAAGAAAGCAGATTTATTACCATGCTCAGTTTAGCCTGTGAAAAGAATGTAGACCACTCAGTGAGGATCAAACTCATTAAACTATGAATTCTTCTGAGACTAGCTTTATAACCATTGTACTGTCAACTCTTTCTCAACACACACCCACACACACACACACATCTTTCCTTGTTTGTGCATTTCATTCAGCAGTGGATATTAACCATATATAGAATGAAAATTTCAAATCAAAATTTAGTCAATAAATATGTAAGGCTGTGTAATTATATGCATGTGCATTTTATGTGTGTGTGTGTGTGTGTGTGTGTGCGCGCGCATGTGCACATGTATACACATACAGCTGTACATTCACAGAAAAAAATCAACCTAACAATAATAAAAAGTGCATAAATTATTTCTTTTAAATTAATATAAAAATAATGAAAACAAGAAAATTAACAGACATTTACTGATACCTCCTGATGAGTGGACCAAACAATTTCACAAAGGTTCATCTACAAAACTCTGGCATAAGCCATTCTTTGGAAGTTTTTCTTGTATGTTTCGGATCATTGTCTTGTTGCAGAATCCATTTTCAGCCAAGTTTCAATTCTCTGACTGGTGGCAAGAGATTCTGACCCAGAATTTAATAGGACTGAGAATTAATGTTTCCTTGGATAATATGGAATGGTCCAAATCCAGAAGCAGAAAAGCATCTCCTGACCTTAACATTTCCAGCACCACATTTCAATTTTGGAATGGGGTGCTTTGCTTGGTAGGAAGTGCTGGATTTTCTTGAAACATGACAGTTTTGATTGTGACAAAACAATTCTATCTATGATTCATCTGTCCAGAGAATAGACTTCCAGAAGGCCTCTGGTTTATACAAGTATTCTCTGACAAAGTTTAAACATGCAGTGTTCTTCTTCATTGAGAGCAGAGGCTTTCTTCTTGCAATCTTCCAATAAATGCCATGCCCAGTCAATTTTTGTCTGATTGTAGACATATGTATATTTATTCTAGATGCTGCCAAATAGGTTTGCAACTCTTTCAAGGTGATGTGTTGATTGGCTTTTACCTGATTTATTATTTTTCTAGTGTTTTTTTTTTTTTGGTGATAGACATCCACTCCTATGCAGAGTTGAGGTTATATTGAATGTCCTCCATTTGTAAATTATTTGTCTCACAGTGAATGGATGGGGCTTTTTTTATATGTTCTTGTAGCTTTTACCAGAATGTTAAAAAGTCAGTACCTTCTTCCAAGGTTCCCAGATATCTCCTTTCCTCTTGGTATTGTTGATCTGTGAAGCCATATCTTGGCATTACAGTAGCTTAGCTGGTTTCCCTTCTCTTTTAATCTGTGTTGGTTCAACCAATTTATTAAGATTGTCTCATTTGATTGATCTGCTTAAATTGAATGATTAAGCACCCAAATGTATTTCAGCTGAATTTATTATCTACTTGACTTCAATAATATACAGTGGGGGTTACATACATTTATACCTGTCAGATTTTCAATTTGGGGAAATAAATTACATTTTTTTGATTAAATAATTAAAATACATCTTTATTTTATTTTTTATTTTATTTTTTGACTTGTGTTCATTATTTGGAAAGTCTACTTTAGAAATTGGTGTTTGGATGCACATTTTTTTTTTCTTTTTTTTTTTTATCCATTCACTCCAACCAAGGCAATAATGCCACTAAGACGCAAGTGGCTACTGGAAGTGAAACACTGAAAAAACTTTAGAGGGGACCAGAAACCTAATCCTAGACAGGAAACCTCTACATCTGTTCGAAAGACCCAGGAGGAGTGTGAACTGGATGATAGGTGAACCTATCTGCTCTTTTTTTTTTTTTTCTTGGAGTGTGCAGGTCACATACTTCCATGTGGCACTATACTATACTATATATATATATATATATATATATATATATATATATATATATATATAATAATGTAATAATGTATGAATATAAACTAAATAAAGAGATATTAGGAACTGTTTATGTGTGTGATAGCATGCATACGCAGATAAGCAAATGAACAAAAATTTAATTTATTGTTCAAACAAAACAGTGCTCAATGTTGTTAAACAGAGCTATGAAGTATATATTAATAAATGCACATATACCTACATTTGTAGTGCAACTGAAACTTTCATGGTTTCCCACATTGTCAGGCACATATGTCAAAATTTTTGTGATATGTGCCTGATGACTTGGGAAACCATGAAATGAAGTTGTATTACAGACATTGGTGTATGTGTATTTATATATATATATATATATATATATATATATATATAATTGAGTTTCATGAACAACCCAATCTTCAGATGTTGAGTTGCATTGTGCATGAAACACAGTCGTGCTACTGGTAAGGAAAAAATGTATATTATTAATATATAGCTTTATAGCTCTGTTATATTACATTGAACATTATTTTATTAACACCAGCACTCTGTGTGATATAGATTCTCTCATTGATTTTGATATATAAGGATCTGACATCATTCAGTTTTTATGTTTATGTCATATGTAACACTTCAGTCCAACCATTGACCGGCATAGAAGTCTACATATGCAACAGCAGGATCTCAAGACATAGCCACAGGAATATTTGTCTTGAAATAAACAATACTCTAATGATAAAATTGTGCTATGTCAAAAGTACTCAGAATGAAGTAAAATGTATCAACACAGCAATTTTCTCTCTTCCTTTAATAATGACACCAAAAAACAATTGAAAATAAGTAGACAAAACTTGTCTAAATTATTCAATGAAATATGTCTCAATATATACATGTGATCAGGAATCTCCTGTCAATTTTGACATATAAGCATCCGATAACCTCATTCATTTTCTATGTTTATGCCATATGTGACACTTCAGTCCTGCTAGTGACCTGCATACAAGTCCTGGGTATGACGATAAACTGTTCCAGGTAGCCAGGCCGCTGATCAGGAGATTGGAGGTTTTGAAGAGTGTGGAGCAACCTCTAAATTGTTGTTGTTTTTAGGTCCACCCTGACCCAGGGTAGTAGCACCTATTAGGGTCCCAGCTATGGGCAAATAGTGAAACCCCACATAATATATATATATATATATATATATATATATGTACACATACACCCATGTCCTTTCCAATCTTGAGTCCATCTAGTTAGATACTTACTTTTCACTGTTTATTTTGTCTTTCTTACATCACACAAACAATATATATACAGCATGTGTGCATATATATATATATATATATATATATATATATATATATATATATATATATATAAATGAAAATGAAAAGAAAGTATGTAACCAAACAAACTCAAGATTGGAAAGGACATAAGTCTATAAATACTTACTTGCTGCAGTTTAGCTATTTCCGATATTTATGAATCATTTCCATTCCCCTGTCACTCTTTATCCACCCCCCCCTGTTCCAGCCCCTGCCTACCTACAAATCAATGAAGTGATCGTGTTACACAATCTTTTCTTCTGGTTCATCGATTTTTTTTTCTTCCTCTTTCATACAGACGTGACTTCTTCATTCTTCCTGCTTCCAATGTTTTGGTTTTTGTTGCTGATGAGTGCAGTGGTCAGGCTAGGCCAGGGTCAAGGGCATAGGTTAACAAACATACCATTTTTAGTTCAGATACTTGAAGTAGGCCTATAAGAGATGATCAGTTTGGTGTACAATCGTCTAATAGAACGGAAAATGCTCATTATAACATAGCTGATGAGGTACAGAAGTGGACAAGATGCTTCTGGTTAATCCTTCTAGAAGCTTCTTTTTTTTTTTTAATTTTTTTTAACCATATATTTTTTATTTTTAAACATTCCTGCATGACATTATTCCTGATCCTGTCATTTTCCCTTTCTTTTTACTTGCAATACAAGTTTGAAGAATAAATTGGTGTATGTTTGCTGGAAGATCATTGGCTAACCTATGGATAAGTCTCTGAAGATGGACCTACTCAAAGAAGGTGGAACGGATATTAGATCACTTGACTACTCTGCTAGAAGTTGATTTGTTCCATGTCTTCTAATGTAACTTCAGAGAAGTTTAAGAATTCTTGATTACCCTGAGTAAAATATTAATATATGATTTCTTGTGCATGGCTTGCTTTTTGATATTCCCGGAGCCAATTTCAAAGATAAATTTTCATTTGTTTTCTCTGGCGTCAAAATTATTTTGTTGTCGTGGGTTTTTATGAATTATGGTGGGGGGAAAAATGCTTGCTTTAAAGATACAAGATTAAATTAAGTATTGATTATCTCAAAAGAAAAAATGGTACCTCACATCTATTGAATATTCTGTAGAAGTGTAAAGATGTAGATCAGTAGAAGGTGGTAGTTTGGGTAAAAGAAAGAGACAGATGGTAAGTAGGGGGAAGAAGATTGAGAGACTTGATAGGATAAAGCGAAACGAGAGAAGAATTGACCTAGAGAAAGAAAGGGTAAGTGGGGCATAGAAATGAGTTAGAAAGAATGAGTTCTCTATAGAGGAAAGAGAGAAGGATTTATTCACAGAGAGGGGAAGGGAAAGATGGGTAGATATAGAGAACAAGTAAAGCTGAGAAGGTTGTATGAAATTAGAGGAGGAAGACATGAGGAATAAAGAGAAGAATGAATTTAGAAAAAGTGTATGTGTCGTTTGATAGATGTGGAAATGAAAAGAGTGAGAAGTAATGAGTTCTTTATAGAGGGATGAGAGAAAGAGGAAGGGAAAGATAGGTAGATATAGGGAGTGAGATAAGCAGAGAAGAAGGTATGAAATCAGTAAAAAATGGTTGGTTGGATAAATGAATGAAGAGAACCAGACGCAGATGGAGAGGAATTAGATTGAGGGGTGATATTATGATAAAGAGTAAATAACAAGAGGAATTGACCTAGAGAAAAAGAGAGTAAGTGTGGCTTGATAGATATAGAAATAAGGAGTTCAGTATAGAGGGAGGAGACAAGGATTTATTTACAGAAAGAGGAAGGAAAAGATGGATAAATATAGGGAGTGAGGAAAGTAGAGAAGTGGGTATGAAATCAGTAAAAGGTGGTAGGTTGAGTAAAAGAAAGAACAAGAGACAAACGGTTAGGAAGGGGAGGAAGATATGAGGAATGATGATAAAGAGAAGAATGAGCCTTGACAAAGAGTATGTGTGGTTTAATACAGAAATAGAAAGGGTTTGAGTGAGAAAGAATGAGTTCTATATAGAGGGAGGAGATAAGGGAAAGATAGGTAGATATAGGGAGTGAGGAAAGTAGAGAAGGGTGTATGAAATCAGTAAAAAGTGGTTGGTTGAGTAGAAGAAAGAGGAGAACCAGAGACAGATGGAGAGGAGGAGAAAGAGGAGGAAGATTGAGGGACTTGGTAATATGATAAAGAGTAAATAAAGAAAAGAGAGAAAAGAATTGATCTGGAAAGAGAGTAAGTGGGTCTCAATAGAAATGAGTGAGAATGAATGTTCTCTATAGAGATAGGAGAGAAGGATTTATTCACAGAAAGAAGAAGTGAAAGATAGATAGGTATAGGGAGTGAGGAGAGTAGAGAAGGGTGTATCAAATCCGTAAAAGATGGTTGATTGAGTAAAAGAGAGGAGAGCAAGAGGCAAAGAGGAAGAAGAGTGAGAGATTGATGCTGAAGAGTAGAGAGAAAAATGGATTTACAGTCAAAGAAATTGTGGGTGGATAGCTGTAGAAAGGTAAAGAGTTCTATATACGAAGTGATGAGGAGATCAATACAAAGGGAAGAGAGAGGGACATAGCTAGAGAGAAAGGGGGATGGGAAAATGTAAACTTGGTAGTTGTGATGAGTGAGAGGAGAATGCATAAAAACTAAGAAAGGAAGAGAGGATGGAAGACAGAGAGGGAGATAGAGGGAAAGAAAAAGATAAGTGTGGATAGATGTAGAAAGAAAGAAAGTTGATGAAGAGAGTGAGGAAAGAGCAATGTACAAAGGGGGAAGGAGAGACAGAATGGGTAAAGAAAGAAACTGAAAAAAAGTGGAGAAAATGAAAAAGAGAGAGAGAGATACAGGGTGTGGTGGATAAATTGTCATCTAAATTAGGCAAAAATGAAAATAACTCTAACATCTCATGGTAACAGATATATTTACCAAAATTACACAAAAATATCTCTATATACAAAAGAGTAAATTTATTCAATAAAATCGCCATTGGCTTCAACTGCGGCATCCATATGACTTTGGAATCTCTTGCAACTTTTCTGGATGGTCTCCTTGATTAAGTTAGTGAATACTGTCATAATCCTTGCCTTCAGTTCATCTTTGGTGTTACAAGGAGTTTTCTTGATCTCTCACTCAACTGCACCCGATACATAATAATCAAGGAAGTTGCAGTCTGGAGAGTTAGATGGCCAGATGTAAGGGGTGGTGTGGTTGCAGAAATTGTCTGACAGCCATGACTAGGTTCTTCTGTTTGTGTGGCATTGTGCAGAGTTCTGTTGTCAGACATAGGGTCTTCCAGCAGTTACCCTCTTGACCTCTTGAGTCTGTGGCCCTCACCAACATCAGAATCATCAGAGTGAGTTTTCTGCACCTTCATAATTACCATTAGACTCATCCAACTCTTTTAGAATCCTCTGCACTGTATTCAAGGTGACACCCAAACACTCTGGAAAGTTTGTATTGGACCTTCTGGTATGAATGCCAAGCAGTACCAAAGCCATTTCTAAATTTCTGGCAAAGTGAATTGCATCATGGTGCTTTTTTCTCACAGATGGTGCCCAACTGACCCTATTATACTGTGCAGTTGACAAAATCAAAAACAAACAACCTGTATGCATGAAATTAGAAATATGAAATGTTGACAATTTACCCATCGCACCCTGTAGATAAAGAGCAAGTCGGGTTGGGGTCCCTAGTTAATCACTCTTGATTTAAACTACCAGACAGATGTTGGGAAATCATGGCTCTTCTCAACTCCTTGGCTTTTGTAACTGTCAGCAACATTTGACGCTTTACCAGCCATCTTTGTCCTTGCTCTGTCATCCAGTCACACAAAGATAGGATACTTAATGATGTGGGTGATCATGGTTCTCCACCACTTCCTGCCCTTTGCAAATCTCAGTAGCATTTGACTTTTTACCACCCCTCTTTGTCACTGCTCTGTCACCCAATCACACAAACACATTAAGTAACTTACAAGCTATTTTCCTCTGCCTTCATATGAGTTTTGAATTCTCCAAGCCCTCTGTTCTCATATCTCCCAGAAATCTGAGGCTTATGGTCACATGTTGAAATACTGGTTCCTATATGATCACTGAAGTTAAGCAACTTTGAGCCTGGTCAATATCCAAATGGCTGGCCACTTGGGAATACCAGGTGCTGTTAGCTTTAGTGTGTGAGTGGTGTAATGGATAATAGCACGGAATTGTTAATTGTAGAGCCGAGTTCCAATTCCTGTTGGGTTCATTATATTTACTTATGTGCAAATACCTTTGGGAAAGGTAGGAATCAACCCCCCCCCAGTCATGGCTTAATTAGTAAGACTTGTATCATATCAAAAAAAAAAAAAAAATTCTTACAATCTAGAAGTATTTTCTGGCTTTAAATAACTTGCAAAGAGTTGTTATGCTGTAGAAAACAAATTAACCAAGCATTCACACAAACTAATTAAGTTACTAGCTGTTTCCTCTACCTTCATATGTGTGCTAAATTCTCCAAGCCCTCTTATCCAAGAAATCTGAATTCTTTTTAATTTTGAGTTGTTGCCCTTGTTCCTATTTTCGTTAAAACTATGTTTGTCCATGATATTCTCAGCATCCTTCTGTAGAACCACATCTCTATCACTTTGAGTTGTTTTTTTTTTCTTTATCTGTAAGGAAAGCGTCTAGCATTTACTGTCATATAGGAAGATACATATGACACATCAGTTCAGCACTCTTTTATTTGTTTCTAATAAAATTTTCCTATGAATTTAAGCATGCTACTAGATTGGCTACTAGCAATCACCATTTTACTGTTGAACTAGTTAGATGTAACTGTATGTTCTATTTTAATAGTTGCCTTTCTCAGAACCCTTGCCTGTGGATGGCTTATGTCCATACCACATTGAAACACCAGTTCCTGTACGATCACTGAAGTTAAGCAACATCGAGTCTGGTAAGTACCTAGATGGGTGACCACTTGGGAATACCAAGTGCTGTAAACTTGGATGTGAAATTGATGTAATGGATCAAGCCTCTATAGTTAAATGACGTTATATTCCTCTGATGTTGCTCGTACAATACTGAATGCTTCTTTTGTCATTCTTGAATTCCTGCATATGTCACCAATGTAAAAATCGTTCTGCTTCTCACTGCTTTAGCCCTCTTTTATTATGCCAACACCATGGCCGATTGACCAATTAGTGTTCTTCGCTTAGTCTTCAGTCACACAGTCAAATGGCATTCTCTATACTGACCAATCAGTATCTGAATCGCTACTGGTCGAACCATACTAAGCTGTATAAAAGCCAATGGAATAATCTAAAGTGGGTGGGGAATATTCATGCCATTTTCAAAGAACAAAATGTTTCTGCTTCATGTCATGTATTGAGATAAGGAACTTATTTTCCTTTGCACCAGATGCAAGCTACTCTGACTGACTCACTTCTATATAATTGTTCACCACAGACTCTGAATTGCTAATTGGAGAGCCGAGTTCCAATTTCAGTTGGGTTTATTATATTCACTTATTTACAAATACCTTTGTGAAAGTTATGAATACACCTATTCTCTTCCCCAGCTATGGGTTAATTAGTAAGACATGTATTAATAAATAATTATTATCTCAAGGAAAAAAATTCTTACAATATGAAAAAAAAAATTTTTCTGGCTTTAAATAACCTGCAAAAGGTTGATAACCTATAAGAAACAGATTAAATCAATCAATCACCTGTAGAACTCCTTTCCGATTTTTTCCTTCCCTGCCATCTCCAATCTTCAAAAATTTAAATGCAATGTCAATCACCATCTTCTGTCTTCCTGAAATCTGTTCTTTTATTCTCCTTTGTCCTCAATAAAGTCTTCTATTTCTCTTTCACTCTCAGTAACCCCATTGCATCTTAGTGGCTTTATTGCTTTGCTTTGCTTGAATAAAAAAAATTTTTTTTTTTTTTTTTTTTTTTTTTAAAGTATGTTCAATTCTAATACTAGGGACCTGAAATCTATAACTTTATAAAACTGAATAATCTAATATCTGTTACTTTAAAAACGTTTGTGTGTGTGTGTTTATATACACACACATGCAAACACACACAGGGTTATTAAAAAAGAATGAATCAATTTCATGACACATTGCTTTAGTTCTCAAGCATCGTCATGGAATGACGATACTTGCATCCGAGTGGCATTTGATTGAGGGTGAAAGGATAAAAAATTTTTTTTTTTAAATCTCTTAATACTTTGTTAATGGAAGGCATCTTTCACCATTCCAATGTAATTTTGGATTTGTATGTCACTTTTTCCATTGTCTGAAAATCAGATATTTTATCTTCAAACAGTTAATAGTCCTTTCTTTTTGCTTTCCTTCACTATCTTGTCTAGGAGTTCTTGCTGTTTTCCTTCTGTGTCTCTCGTCCTGGTTAAGACGATAAACTATGCCCAACAGCAAGGCCTCTGATCAGGAGGTTTTGAGGAGTGTGGGTTCAAAACACTATGAAAGTGAAAAAATAGATTTAATACCAGAAATACTTTGTAAAAAAAAAAAATTATTACCATCAATACATTTTTGAAAAAAAATATTACCAGCAATAACAAATTTTGTCGGCATAAAATAACCCATTGAGGTTGATACACCGTAAAACCAAATTAAACCAAACCAATCCTTCTGTATCTCCCATCAAAATAGTGTCATCTATGTTATTACATCCGCTGATGATAAATCCTGATAGGACTTTAGGATCATCTAAATCAATATTTTTGTCTTATTCTTCTGTGCTGTATTCCTTCAGGATGTTGGTGATCATGGCTCTCCACCATTTCCTGTCCTTTGTAGCTCTTAAGAAATTTTGTCTTTTTCTTATCTCTCTTAAACCCTGTTCCACCATCTGTTTACACAAGTTTGCTAGGTAAGTTATTTGTTGTTTTCTTCTGTTCCTCTTGCCTTCAATCTGTCCTGTGAGTATCGTATTTTCCAAGCCTTCTTTTTCTCATGTGTCCGAAATTTCAACTGTCTCTTTCTGATGTATAAGGGTCTTTTTTGTTTCCATTTTCTTAAAAACTTTTCATTGCTCACATGTTTGGTCCATGGCATTCTCAGCACCCTTCTGGAGAACCACATTTCTGTTGTTTTGAGTCTCTTCTTCATCTGTTCAGAATTTACTGCCATATAAGAGTCTGATATTACATTGCAGTTCACTACTCTTTTTGTTTTAATTAATTTTTTTTACTTCTTAATACTTTGCATAACTTTTAGAAGGCATCTTACTCATTGGTTCTACAACTTTAGATCCCATGTACTTTCATCACATACTTCTAACAAATTATGTAAAAAATAGAAAATAGTGTTGTTACACTACTTCAAAATTATACTATTCACCAATTGTCTCTACTGACCCTGATGATGACTTAATAAAGTCGAAAGCTTGAGTCGTATATCCTGTACTTTTCTTCTGAATTTAACTTTGGACAATTTCTGAGGGAATTTTCTCCTTGTCTGAGAAATATAATTCATAATTTGGAAAAGTTGATCATTAAAATTAATTGACACAAAATGTCTGTCATTTTCAATATTATTTGCTACCTAAATACACAATATATATATATATATATATATATGCTTTAGTGAGTTTGTTAGGCAGAGGCAATATTGGAGGTAATGATGCATGTATATTATGATTGCGACGTTGAAGAAGCAATCAACTATTTAGAGTCAAGGAACAGAGAATTGCAATTTTGCCAGAATCTAATGCAAATGTGACTCTCTCTTTTTCAATTCTTTTTTCTTTCCATTTCTCTCTCTTTCACTTCCTCTTCTCTCTCCTTCTGTCTCTCTTTATACACACACATATATATATATATATATATATATATATATACACACACACACAAACACACACTGATGTCTGCAATGAGATGATCAAGCCATAAAAGAATATTGACTTGACAGATGCAATAAAGATAAAGTAGTTCTACCTTTTGATAGAAAAAAGATCAATCAGACAAAAATATATTAAGGAAGAATCTGCACACAAAAGGATTCATAGTTTAATAGTTAATAAGGTTAGCTGTGTTTGGCACAAGGCTTCAAATCTGGAGCACCAAAACAGGATTGAACTCATTGCAGTTGTAATAGTGAAATTAGGTGTTTTTGTGCACAAAACATTCAACATTCATCAACCAAACAGCATTCTTATAGATCTTCTATATGGCATGTCCCTTCAGGATGTGAGTGATCATAGCTCTCCACAACTTCATATCCTTAGTAAGGTTTGTCTTTTCACTCCTTGTCCCACTCTCTAATATGACACATCCATTTTCACAAGCTCTAGTGCAGCCTATGTTCATTTTCCTTTTCCCTCTAGTAAATATTATATATATATATATATATATATATATATATATATATATAATTATTTCAACAATTGAATTTTCTTTTCACAGAATTCAGCAGATGCCAATTCAGATGTCAATTTTATCTATATTTAGTTCTACTGTTTAATGATATAGATATTTTAACAGTCATTAACCTTCATTAAAAAGACCAAGTCAAAAGGACAGTCTTTCCTTTGACACCACCATTTTAAATGCCTTCACTCTTCGGCATTGTTTAATATTATAATAAGTGATGAATAGACTTGTAATGAAATCTAAGCATATGATGGAAGTGAATTTATCCATTTTTTTTTTGTTCTTGAGAATTTACAACAAAAATATTAAACAGTATATGATTGTTTATTTACAAGAATTATTTTATATTTTCAACCTTCTAAAAATAATGCAGTGCAATATTTATCATTTACCAATTTATAAAGAAATAAATGCGAAAACAAATTTTATTTATAAATTTATAACCATTTACTAATTTATTAAAATATGTGAACAAACTATAAAGAAATCCTTATTTACTATTCTATAAATTTGAATCGATTGGTTATTAGCCACTATTTTGTCAACCTTTCCAATAAATAATACAATAGATAAATAGTGTTTATTATTTTTGTTGTCAGTTCTCAAGAATAAAGATTAAAATTCTAATCATCACTTTTTAAAATAGTAAACATTGTTAAGGTGTAAAGATAGTTAAAATAATAGCAGTGTCAAGGGAAAAACTATCCTTTTAACAGATGGATTTTTTGGGTGGGTACAAAGGTTGAAGATTCTTGATATTTTGTGATATCTCCCCTGCCTTCTTAGTTTCAGATTTGACATCCATGATAGTCTAACTCATTTACCTTAAGAAAAACAAACAATCATATATATATATATATATATATATATATATATATGATTGAAATAAAAGTATAAAACTTAATATTACGAGACATATTAAAAACGGGCGAAACAACTGGTTTTGCTCCCGATCTTCAGGCTTCAACAGGAGATTTAATTTAAAATTAACACAGAAAAGTGTACAATAAAAGGAAGTTGTGGAACTTACTTTTATTGTACATTTTTCCGTTTTTAATATGTCTCGTAATAAGTTTTATGCTTTTATTTCAATCATTAAATTTTGTACCTAGAAAAAATATCTTTATATATATATATATATATATATATATATATATATATATATATATAATGATAATAATAATAATATACTCTCCCATCGTTTTTTGACATATGAGGATCTGACAGCTTACTTGATTTAGTTATGAAAGTTTGTGTGATAATCTAAAGTGGCATTTAAGACCCGCTAGTGATTTACAAAGGAGGCCACATATGGAGCAAGTGTGAGGATTGTGAGATGAGTTCACTATTAGATTGGCTGACCTTTTAGATCTTGCACTCACTTCTTGAAGATGATTCAAACAAGCAGATTGAAAAGTTCTGAGTCCACTAAAACACATTGATCTCCATTCTACCCACTCCAAGGCTAAGCGCTCAAGAGTGTTATGTGGTGTGTATATATATATATTATATATACACAGGGTTATTAAAAAAGAATGAACCAATTTCATTATGCAATATTTTAATAAGGAAAAGCCATAGAAAACTTTAGCCAAGTCACAAATATTTTACTCACAATCAACTTTTATTACCTGTTTCACAAGTGTTCAATGTGGCTACCATCTGCAGCACAAGCAACATCAATGCGATAAGTGAATGCCTCCCAGACACATATTGGCATATCACGATCTACTGAGTTGATCGCTGTTGTTATTTGATGTTTAAGATCATTGAGGTTAGTGGGTAGTGGTGGAACATAAATGCAACCTTTTACGTAGCTTCACAACATTTTTTTCAATCATTTCATCCAAAGTAAGGAAATAAAGCCACTAAGATGCAAGGGGAGTTATTGAGAGTGAAAGAAACTGAGAAAACCTTATTGAGGTGAAAGGACAATAAAAGAATAGGATTCAATGAGATAGAAGATGACAATTGATGTTGCATTTAAATTTTTGTAGATCAAAGTTGATTGGAAAACCAGGAGAGAGTTCCTCAAGCGAGAAGTATGAGTGAAGAAACCATTAGCATAGAATTTAGTTACTTAGCAATTTGAACTGAAAAATGATGAGACCTAGCTGCCAATCTAGTACTGTGCTTAAATTCATGAAGTTCAGATACCAAAGAGAAAAGTTCATCTGAACAATTACCATGAAGACATTTATAAACAAAAAGCACTGGGAAGCTACGTTACAGCAGTGGGAAAGTGACTGTAACCAAGATGCCAGGTCAGGACCGATGACATTGCTGATTCCTTTTCGGTTTCTCTCAAGAATCTCCAGATACATAGCAGAAGCACTAGACCAAATGTGGCAGCAGTATTTAATGCGTGGACGAATGTAAGATTTATGAAAGTGCAAGATTCTGGCTAGAAAAATTGTCTAGCATGACGGTGAACAAACTTTCTTAGCAGCAAGCTTAGCAATTGATTCAATATCATCCCATTTCATGCCAATGGAAAACATTAAACAGAGAAGGTGCACTGAGTTACTCTCCTGGAAGTTCACATCAGCTATGCTGATGGAGGGCCAAAATAAGATCTCTTAGATGGTTAAAAGAGAGAAGTTTTGTTTTGGAGGCATTAAAATTAACAAGCCATTTCTTGCCCGAGTTAACAACATTGCTACTTAGATAAAATGTTGTCAGTGTTGTTCCAGCCAAAGATGCAGTCATTGGTTGACAATCTGGGAAAGATATTTTTGAGAAAAAGAAATCGAATTAGAAACATATATTTT